ACTCTCTCTCTCTCTCTCTCTCTCTCTCAAAAATAAATAAACATTTAAAAAAAAAATTTTTTTTTAAATAATCTCCCTTGAAATGCCCCGTGCTGCTACTGGCCGGAAGCTCAGGTATTTGGACAGCTTGGGATTCGAATTTCCAGGCTTTATTTTTTAATGCACTCGAGGCATTTTCTTAGCACCCTAGTAGTGCTAGACAGACGGTGTCAGGGATACAGAGGGCGCCCAACCAACATGGCTCCTTCCTTTTTGGGACTGAGGGGGAGAGATCATTATCCAACTAATAATGTAACGGATGCGTAGGTAATTGCTTCTGTATTGCATGCATAATTAATGATGTGAAAAGTGCAATGACAGGGCCGACGGTATGAAAGAGGAACCCGCCCTGGAAGGCCAGGGGCCAGGCCAGGCTTCTCCAGGGACCGGAGACCAATATTTCAGCTGGGAGCTGAGCGATGAGAGGGAGGTGGGCACTGAGAGGAGAGCTGCTGCAGGTGAGAACAGCAGGGGCAAAGGCCCTGAGGTAGCAAGGACAGACCCCAGAGAACTGAAGCACGGGTGACACGAAATGAGGCTATAGACACTTAGGACACCCTGTAGACCTGGCTGACTTTGGATTTCTTCCAAAAGCAACAAAAAGCCAGTAATAGGGGTTTTAGGAAGGTGGGACTGGGAAAACTACAAGCCCAGGACAAGAGGGTTTCTCTGTGCTCTGCTGTGCCCCCCCCCAAACAGGAAAAGAAGGTGGGTCACAGCCTGAGGCACCTGCTGCTGAAATTGGGGCTCCCCCCTTCCCCCCCGACCCCATGGGGACTGAGGCGGGTGAGCATTTCCCATGCAGGGAGAGAGGAGGCCACGGTCAAGCAGCCAAGCAGCCTGCAGCATTCAGATGTCTTTGGAGGTCTTGCATTTTATCATTCACATGTGAATTTTTAAAATCTATGCCATAGCGTCTTTGTGCTACTCTGGCATAAAAATAACACTTACAATTAATGACCAGTTGAACTGCTTAACTCCGCCCCCCCCCCCCAAGTCTTGTCTCAAACGTTTGGGCCAAGTTGAAATCCGTGAAGATGTACCATATCCATCCAGGACTTTCATACACACCCTGGTAAGACTCCGGGACAGCCGGGAACACGTGCCCATCGGGACACAGACAGCAGTGTCAGCAAATGTCTAGATGCCACCTTTGAAATGCTGACCTCAGGCTGAGCCAGGGGGAGGGTTATGGCAGCTTCCCATGTGGAGTGAGCCTCGAGTGTAATTTTCAGTCACTACATGAACAGTAATTAAACACCTACTGTGTGCCAGGCACCGTTCTGCGTGCGGGGAATATACAGCAGTAAACCAGACAGACAAGGTCGCTGTCCTCATGGGGTTGGCATTCTGACAGCAGAAGGGGGGGGGGGCAGACAGTTAATAAAGAAATAAGCCCATCACATGTAATATGTTAGGCAAGTTCTATGAAGCTAAATGCTGTAGAGGCTAGGGAGGATAGACTGGGTGCTATTTTAGCTAGAAAGGACAGCTTAGGCAACATTTGCATGATCTGAAGAAAGGGAGGGTGGAGATATGCTGGAGGAAGAACATTCTGTGCAGAGGGCAGCGGGAGGGGTAAGTGCAAAGGCCCTGAGGCAGCAGCGGGCATGATGTGTTGGAGGAGCAGCCGGAAGGCTAAAACATCTAGCAGAGTGCGAGACAGGTCAGAGGGATGATGGGGAGTCAGACTGTATAAGGTCTTGAAGCCTAAGTGAGGACACCTGTTGTCACAGCACAGAAACTTGAGGCACCAGCCAGTCTCAGACCAGGAACACCAGCTTGTGTGCTGTCTTTGTACGTGCTGACATCGGCCCCAAGTCTTCTGTGTTTGAGACACGGGGCCTACCGGAGCTGGGGACACTCAAGACCTCGGTGGATGGAAGAACAAGGGGCCCAGGAGGCCCTGAGAAGCTTATCCCTGCCCGTTCCAGCAGGCAGAGTAAAACATGCTCTCAGGAGCAGCCTGCATCAAATCCCCAGGAACCTCGGAGCTGTGCGCACAGAGTGACACGAGAAAAAATAAGAATAACAGATAATAATACCAAGGGTTAGTGAGGGTGCCGAGAGGAGGAGATTCCTGTCCATTGCTGGCAGAAATGGAAACTTTGCAGCCTGGAAAGCAATCTGGTGAAACACAGCGGCTGTCCTTTGACCCACGAACCCCAGAGACATTGTTTCCTAAGTCCACAAAAGGGATGCAGACCTGCTGTGTTATCTGTTAACCCAGGGAGGCAGGGAGAAGAAGTACAATATAATAGATGCCCCCAGGTGACACGCGTCCCAGCAAAGACTGGTTTGCACAGCGCACCTGGACAGAGCTTAAAAAAACAGCAGTGAGCAAAACAAGGGAAGTGATGGGCCACACACACACACACACACACACACCCCACAGGGTGCTTTACAAGGAGACCTGCAGATTAAGCACGTAGAACAAAGACCTTAGAGGGTGTGACCCTGAGGGGTGGGGGATACAGTAGGGTCAAAGACAGGGTGGGGGATGACCCAGAAAGAGAGCCTGGGAACTTGAGCCTTCAGCAGGTGACTCACTGAGCAACTCTCTGTCATTATTATCCACATTTAATGGATGGAAAACCCAGACTTGGAGAAGCGGCTTGGGCAAGGCGCCCCCGGCTCACAAGGAAGAGCAGGGATCCGAGACATTGTGTGATGTTGTGTGAATGTCCTCAGCGTGGAGCCAGACTCACCCGGCGAGGACACGCTCTCTGCCAAGTGCTAGTTGTGGGAACTTAGGCTAGCTGCTACATCTTGCTGAGCCTCTGTTTTCCCATATGGGAAATGGGGGTCCTGGGGGCCCTGATGCCTCTTCTACGGGAGGTGGTGAGAACGACAGGTGCCAATGCTTTGGGGCACCAGGCCTGGCGCCTGGCCCATCCACCGTGAGTCGTCGGGTCTCATGTCGGAGTCCAGGCTCTCCCTGGGGTCAGATCCCATGGCCGAGTAAGGGTGTGGGCTGGGAGGAGGCTCCTCAGCCCCCTTTCGGGCTGGGCTGCAGGGAATGCCGAGGCCGCTTGGGACTCACCGTCTTCTTCTGTTTTCCTGCCGCTTCCTTCTTTCCTTCTTCCTTCCTTCCTTCCTTCCTGCCACCTCCTCCTCCTTTCGGCCACCTCCCCAGCAAAGACAAGCATTGCTTCGGCACCCGGGCCCTGGACTCCTGGAACAAGCTGTGCCTGGCAACTCTCCTGGACACCGATGTGTCCAACCCCATGGAATACGAGTTCAACTTCCAGCTGGAGATTCGCGGGCCGTGCCTGCTCGCAGGTGAGAGAGGGCCACCCAGACCTGGATCGGGGCCGGAAAGACCTGAGGCCTGGAGGTGGGGAGGGCTTCCAGCAGAAAGCTGCCAGGGATAGAGAGGAGGGGGAAGGCAGGGAAGCTGACCCGCCCAGAAGCACATGGAGCTTCGTGGACCCCCACTTCCTGCTCCCCAACGTGTGGCCCAAAGATGAGCCCCTCCCAACGACGGGTTTCAAGGCTGCCCCCATGCCCACCTCAATGGCTCCCTTGCATAGTCAAATCGGCTGGGGAGTTTTCAGATCCCACCATCCAGATCCCACCCAGAGCTGCTGATGACAGTGGTCTGGGCTGTGTCCTGAACACTGGAATATTTAAGAGCTCCCAGACGATTCTAACATGCAACCAGAGTTGGGGACTATTGTTCTGATGGCTCCCCTCCCCAACCCACTCAAGGTTTTAAAGGGACATGAGGACGCAGTTTCTTGTCAATGAGTGTTCTCCCAGAGCAGCATGATGGCATTTACAGAGTGCCCAGCCATCGAGCCTTGAGCTCTTGCTTTCTTTATGTGCACTATGAGGAAGCCACCCTTTGACCCCAGTGGATCCTGAGGTCAGGGCAGGAAGGGCCACAGACATCGCCAGTCTTAGCCCCCATTTTGCAGATGGGGGAATTGAGGAGGCCTGTCCATGGTTGCACAGCAGGTCAGGAGCCCCTCATCTCTGACACGGGTCTTCCTGTCCCCAACGGAGCCCCTATTTCTCCTGAGACTCCTGAGCTTATTCCATGTTTCTGTGCCACTCAGGGGTGGAGAGTCCCACCCACGAGATCCGAGCTGATGCTGCCCCATCTGCACGCTCGGCCAAGAGCATCATTATCACCTTGGCCAACAGGCACACCTTCGACCGGCCGGTGGAGATCCTCATCCACCCCAGTGGTACTACGCACCAGGCGGGGCCCCTGGGAGGCCTGTGGGAGGGAGGAGGTGCTGATCCTGTGGGGCAGAGATACGAGGCCAGCCCGGGAGGGGGTGGGGGGCGGGCAGCAGAGAGGAAACCAGCAATAGTGGCTCCTGGAAACCTGACTCTAGTTGGCGGAATTGAGTGCCTCCTGCCCGGATTCTAGCTCCAGAGGGCCTGGGGGTCTCATCCACCCAATGGGGAACTTGGCCTCCAGGCCAGCTGAGCAGGTAACCTTTGAAATCCCAAGCTCAGGGAGACCCTCGCAGCTCTGAACCCTCAGAGAACAATTCCTTTGTCTCTTGAAAGCTTCATAAAATGTCAGGATCTGAAAAAATCAGAGCCCAGTCTCACCCCCATTTTATAGATGGGTAAACTGAGGCCCAGAGAAGTGTGTGAGTTCTCCATGACCACTAGGCTCCCCTGCCTGGCAGAGAAGGAGTCTTCCCGAGGCCCACGCCACTCCAGGCAGCCAGGGGGTCCCTCCCCCTCCCCACATTGGGAGTCCTCCCCCTCCATGAAGATCTTCCTCCTAAACCAAGGCCCCTGGCCTTGCCCTCCCACTCGGACAAGTGCCAAGAGTTGATCTCATCTCTGCAGAGCCCCACATGCCCCACGTCCTGATGGAGAAAGGGGACATGACCCTGGGAGAGTTTGAGCAGCACTTGAAGGGAAGAACGGATTTCATTAAAGGGATGAAGAAGGACAGCAGTGCAGAGAGACAGGTGCGTGTGGCTGGAGCCAAGTCGGCGGCGGCAGAACTGGGGTGACATCGGGGGCTCAGTCATCAGAGGACCCATGAGGATGCTGAGCAGGGGAAGAGGGTGGCTTGCCCGGGTCCCTCCCTCAGCACGCTGCTGGCACATCCTGATCACTGTTTCCACCTGTGGCTGGGGTGCTGCTGGGACATGGACGTCCAGATGCAGCCGTCACTCTGTCTCCCCGTCACCCGGCAGGCACCCTGTCTTCCTGCCTCCTGCCAGCCCACCTTCTCCTAATGCCACCGAGGTGCCTAAGCCAGGCGACGTTCTAGGCTGGTGGCAGAAACAACCTTGGTCTTCTCCAGGTCGCTTCATCCCAAGGAGCCCCCAGGTGCCCTCTCAGTCCCACCTTTACCCCTGGGCCTCCATTTTCCCATCTGCTGAATGGGTCTCCTGCTCTTCCTTCCTCTGAGATCCTTGCAACTATTACCTAAAGAATAAAGGCAGAGCAGAGAAAGCCGGAAGGAGACCCTTTCTTGGCCCTCCCCCTCCCCCCATGAAGTGTCAGTGTGAGAAGGCCTCAGCAGGGGGTGGGGGGGGGGGCTGGGGAAGGCTGGTAGGAGGCTGAGCCAGCAGCCTCTCCTGTTCGTGGCTCTGCACACCAAGCCGGGCCCTGAATGCCAAGGCAGGTGCAAGGACGATGGCATGCTTCTTTTTCTGGTATCCCCATTTTAGACGAGAACGCTGAGGTTTAGCACCCAAGAAGAACCACTCAGCTGAGAGGAAGGGAAGACCGTTGGCTTTGGTGACATGAGGTTAAGGACTCAGAGTCAACCCTGTGGGGGCAGCTTGGCTGGATCTAAGAGCCCCTCCCTGACTGGCAGAGGACCATGGCAGAGGGGGAGGGCATGGGAATATGTAGACCCTTCCCTGCTCGTGCCAACCCCTTCAGCAGACATCCCCCTGGCAGGGCCTGCTTGGTGGGGGGCAGGAGGGATGGCGAAAGGAAAGGGTCAGTAGCTCACTGCCCCTGTCGTCGCATGTTGGGGACCCCACTGGGAACATCTGCCTTCCCAGAGGGGCTCCCTCGCCCAGATGAATCAGTTCGGAAAAGAGGCTGGGGCCAGGTTCTCAGAGTGGGGGTGTCCCGGAGCTCTGAGGACTGTAGCATGTGGGCAGCAGTGGGGGCAGTGGGTCTCCCAGGCCCGGGGCTCCTCTGCCTGCCAAGATTAAATCAATTAGCCCCGGGAGGGTGGAAGCAAATGAGAATTTGCCACCTTGGGTTGGTTATGCAAGTACCCTGTATTCTTGTGAGCTCCGGGGATGACAGGGGATCACCCAGAGCCACTAAGAAGTGATGAGTTTATTGCAATTGGATAAAGGCAGCAGGAGGAGACATTGGTGAATCCTGAGCCGGGGTCCCCACGCCACCTCGCTGAGAGGCAAAACTCAGGTTCCCAGAAGGGGCTCCTGTCACTGGCAGATGAGGCTGTTGCTGCCTTGGGCTCTGTCTTCCGGAAAGCCAGGCTGGGCAGTGGCCTTTGGCAAAGGGAGCTCCACGTGGGAGGGAGAGCGTGATCCCTCACGGAGGAGGGAGGCAGGCATCCAGAAGGTGAACATCAATCATGAAGAGTGGGTATGACAAGCCGTCAGAGGCTGTGATTTAGCAAAGAGGGGGCAAATGACACAGAGGAAGATGCCACGTACAAGAGACAGATGCAGAGAGAAGCAGAGACAAGTAGAGACAGAGACTGGAAGACAGAAAAAAAAAGCAACTCAGAGATGCACACATAGGTGCCCACACAGATTCACTTCTCATTTATTTATTCAACAAACACTATGTCCCCCAGGAGATGTCAGGCTCTGTTCTAGGCACTGGGAGGACACTAAAAACGACATGTCCTTGTTCTCATGGAGCTTACATTCTAGCACAGACTAGAAGTAAACGAATGAGCAAGTTCAGGGGCAGAGAGGGCTGGGGAACCAAGAAAGAAATACCGCAGAACGATAGGATATAATGCGTGATAAGCATGGGCGCTGCTTAGCCTGGTGTTTAGAGAAAGCCTGTCTGAGAATGAGGCCTGGTGAGTGGTGAACAACGGAAGACCGTGCACAGAACTGAAAGCAGAATAAGGGCGACGCGTCTGGGAAACAGGTGGCCGGAATTGCCGAAATGTCGTGGGCAAAGATGGCGGGGACAGGTAGGCAGGGGTCAGGCACTAGGGGGGCTTCATAACCATGTGCAAGGCATGGGGGAAGCTGTGGTGTAAGCAGTAGAACGACAAGGATGATCACACTCCCTGCTCTATGTAGAGAACAGACCACAGGGAGGTAAGAGTGGTTGACAGAGGCATTAAAGGTCCAGACTAGAGACAGTACGGTCCCAAACTGGGCTGGGGGTGTGGGTAGAGACAGAGACAAGAAGACAAGTTCAGAGCGCATCTCAGCGACAGAGCTGACAATGCCTTGCTGAACGACGAGCCGTGGGGGCGGGGGGAGGAGGATAAGAGAGGAACCAAGGACAAGCCCTAGGTCTTGAGTGTGAACACACCTGGGTGGGTGATGATGTCACCTACCGAGTTGGGGAAGGGGCTGAAATGAAAACACTGAGAAACAGACACAAAGAGGCACGCGCACCAGACACAGTCAGACGAAGAGGCAGACAGAGGAAATGGGGGTGAGGAGAGAGAGAGAGGTAGGGCGAGGATGGAGGAAATGAGATTCGGCGCAGCGTGCGTGGTGAGTCTGGAAGCAGGGTTCAGCAGCAGCGTGCCAGGGCAAGTGAAGAGAACGCACAGAAAGATAAAGAAGTGTGGTGCTGTCCCGCCTTTGATGTTTATGAGTCCATCTTTCTACCGGGCTCTGAGGTAAGCCCTGGTAAGATGGAAAGAGACTCAGGTATGGCCTGCCTGCAAGTAGTATACAAGCTAGGAGGAGGCAGCCAGGTAAGCAGAAACATCGCAATGTGAGAAGCGCCTGGGCCCCCACAACAAACAGCAGCAGATACAGTGATGGTGGCTCCCGTGTAGAGACACTTGCTCTGCGCCAGGCTGCCAGCAGGCTTCACGGGCATTGCATTTAGTCCATATAACTCCGTGAGATCAGTACTCTTGTCTTCATTCCATGCGTGAGGAAATTAAGCAATAGTCAGTTCACCCTGAAGACGCGGGCAGGCATTCTAAAGAGGTAAAATCTGAAGACGGAGTAGGAAGTTATCAGAGGGAGAGAAGCGGTAAACCCAGGGAAACCAAGTTCACAGCCAAGATGAGCCGGAGGGAGTGGCTTAGACGCTGGGGGTGAAAGCCAGAGACACACTTCTCAGCTGAGGTCCTGCACGTGTCCATCCCATAACCACCCTGAGAAGGGGATGCTACTTGCCCCATTTTATAAATGAAGAAACAGACCCAGAGGAGGGACATGCCCAAGATCACACAGCTGGACGGTGAGAGCTGGGATTTAAACCCCGGTCTTTCTGCCTCCAAAGTCTATGCTTGCTGTTTGTTGCCACTGTGAAAGTCTAGCAAACAGAAGAACCGGGTATGGTCGACCTGGAAGTGTCTCTCGTGCGGAGCATGAGTGGGATCTTGACAAAACCTGGTTGAGTAACGGGGGACCAGCGTGAGCCCCCAGGAGCAGCTCTGGACGCCTTGAGTGCTCAAGTGAGAGAGTTTTCCTTTCTTCTCCAGACAGAAATCATCCGGAAGCGTCTCCACAAGGACATCCTCCACCATTCGGTCATCATGCTCAACTTCTGCCCCGACCTCCAGTCAGTCCAGCCGAACCTGAGAAAGACCCATGGGGAGTTTATCTTCCTCATTGACCGGAGTGGCAGCATGAGTGGGACCAACATCCACCGTGTCAAGGTACCTATAAGAGGACCCATGCCCCGCGATTTAGGGCTTCAGCACTTCCTCAGCACTCTCTGTTCCAAGCAGCCCTCCTTCCACACCTGAACTACTTTCCTAAATTACTCCGGGACTAAAAGGAACAACTCAACTTTCTAAAATACATTTGAACACAGACACCCAAACTCAACTTGTTCCCCAAATAAAACCCTGAAATGGATGAGCAGAGGTAGAACTGTTGCCCATTTACCAAGGGATAGAGTCATCATCAATAGCTTTCCTTGGCACTCTGCAAACCTTTGTTGAGTGCCTGCTTGGGCTGAGACATCTCACCAGGTACTGAGTGGAGAGAGGCACAGAGAAGAGAGGAGGGAACTCCCATAGCATCAGGTTTATGTGCCAGATACAATACCAGCCACTTAATGCACAGCGTGGTGTTGAATCCAGACAATAATCCCGTGAGGTTGGCCCTCTTGTCACCATTCTCCAAATGGGAAAGCCAATCCTGAAAATTTCAGTAACCTACCCAAAGTCACACAGCTAGTGTGGTCTAAGATCAAACTCATGTCTGTCTGTTCCTACCACCTGACATCAGAGATTCATTGCACATGGCCTCAGCCATTAAGGACTGTGTACAATGCTTGGCCATCTGGAAAGACAACAGGTTGTAAATGTAGTTCCTGGCCTCAAGGCGTTCACAGTCGAGTGAGGGAGCAGCCCTGCTAACCAGTCATAGCTGGGAGCATGGTCCCACTGCAGTGGGAAGTTCTGAAGGAGTACAGAAGAGTGATAAACTTTCCCCCCCACACACATATCCAGAAGTGTTTCCTCTCCTTCAGGAGATCATTCACCTCGATTATGGCATTATCTAACTCTCCTTTGTATTTTTCATTGTGGAGAGGTATGTCTCCTCTGCTGGAGTTATGAACTCATTAAGGGAAAGGACCAGATCTTTCTCATCTATCTCTCCCCATGGAGCATCGCTCTGTACTTACCCATAAAAAGCCCCCAGTTGCTGTTTATTGAACTGGGTAAAGGCTCATAGTTCAAGGAAATGAAGGATGCGGGAACAGGAAGAGAGACAGTTCTGCTGCTGTCACCTGAAATGTCATCCCTCCCCCTAGTTTGTCTCTGGAGCAAACTCTTGTTCCCAGGGCAACAGGATTGGCAAGGAGGGGAGGGGTTAGATGGGATCTGTGATGCCAGGTATCTCCTCAGGCTTGCCATGACTAGGTTTAATCTTGAAGTATGCCTGAGCAATCATGTATGAGACCCAAGCTCCTGTTTGAGGCCTCTAGACGCTGAGGTACAGGACTAGTTGTCACCTTCTCCCCACCTTTGTCTGCCATCAAAAGCAAGAATTAGAGTGGGGAGCTGTCCATAGTTCTGCTGAAGTATGCTCCAGGACTGTGTGGCCATGTGTATTTCATTCCATAGCTGTATCAGTTTTTAAGACATCTCTTCAGTTACTCTTAAGTATCATGGGATCTTATGATAGCTCTTAGCATTTAAGTCATTTTTCCTGCCATTTTCCGGGTAAAGAAACTGAGTCCCCAAGAAGCTAGGTGTTCTCCCCAGCACCACAGGGCTAATGAGGAAGTCAAAGCCTCCCATATCTTGGATCAGGGCTCATTTTCCTTAGGTTGCTGGTAGGGTATTAGAATACTCTTTTACTGAGAAAAGCTCTCTTCTCTATGTCATTTCTGCTGCATGGCTTAATAGAAAGAGCAATGCTTGGGTTTTGGGATCACTTCTGCCACTGACCTGCTATGTGGCTTTGGACAAGTGGCTTCTCAACTCTGGGATTCATTTATCCTTTCTGCAAAATGAGCAAGAACGATTAATTCAGAGAGGGCAAACATATGTCACACATCCCTTTGTTCCTCTCTCCTAAAGCCAGACAGACATCAATAATTGACCATGGCATTTTTTTCCCACGCTGAGCCTGGACTCATTCTCTACACCCTTGTCATCTCAGTGGTCCAGGCTGTTACTACCAGTTAAATGGAGTCAGTTTATGAGTGGAAACCTATTTCCTGAACTAAAGACCTTTCCAAACTTTACCCTCTAGACTTTTCAGACAATGACTTCCTCTGACTCTGGTCTCAGTCCTTTCCCCCTTTGGAGTCTCCCCTGCTCTCTTTTCCAGTTCAGCTCACTGAGCTCAAGGTCATCTCTCCACAAATGGCTTTGCATTGGCACAATCCATTCTGCTACACATGCCCCTTTTAGAAGAAGGTACAGAAATCACTCAGGCACATGCTCCTTTCCCCACTGACAACGAGGCCATAGGGGGGTTGCTTGGAGCATTAACTGTGTGCCATTAGGTAGACATTTTAGGGAAAACTGGGCTCAGGAAGGTGAGAGAGAATAGAAATCCAAACAGCCACATCAAGGGGGAAAGTTCAGCCAATTTAATTTCCTGCAGCTGGTCTCATTCTTCAGCTGCCACTCGATGCCAAAAACATGGCTTTAAAAATTCTAATAGGTGTGAGCAGAGACAGTCTGTATGGATCAGCAGAGTCTCCCGCTAGCGGGAATATACATTAGTGGCTAATGAAAAAATAAGCAGATATTGACTTCTTTTGTAGAGAAACAAAATGTATTGACACAGGCAACAAAAAGAGACAGAGAGAATGGTGAAGGTTGATGTTAATGTTTGATGTTTGTGGAGGGGGATGGGAGAGGGGCTGCAGGTCTGTGGTGCCTGCAAGGCTGTATTGCTGTGGAAGTTGCCAAGACAGACTTGCAAGTGCTTCCTTCTGGATTCTGGAATATAACAGTTTGTCTCTCTGTGAAGTCAGCTGAGATCCCTGGGGTGCCATCAATAAACTCCTTGAGGGTGACAGAGAGCCCCTCATTTCTGAGCTCTGTGCCAAGGCAGAGCCAACATGAATAAGGATCTCAGAGCTATGTTTTAAAAGCTGTCTTAGGTTTTGCAATCCAGAGCAACTTCTTAACCCTCTGAGCCTCAGTTTTCTTTTTAATGTTTTTCTTTTTGAGAAAAAGAGGAAGAGAGAGTGGGGGGAGGGGCCGAGAGAGAGGGAGACACAGAATCCGAAGCAGGCTCCAGGCTCTGAACTGTCAGCACAGAGCCTGACGTGGGGCTCAAACTCACAAACTGTGAGATCATGACCTGAGCCAAAGTTGGATGCTTAAATGACTGAGCCACCCAGGTCCCCCTGAGCCTCAGTTTTCTTACCTGTAAAACAGAGGCATTGCTATTAATATGTTTCTCATTGGGGTGGTAATAATAACCATTTACTGAATGTTTACTAAGTGCCAGGCTGAGGCTTAGAGGAGGGACATAACTAACCCAAGTTCAAGTTAGTAATGGGGCAAAAGTGAGATTTAAACCAACATACATCTAACTTCAAAATGTATCTTCTTAACCACTGTGCTGTAATGCATGTTAAAGAGATTAAGTGAGATAATTAATAGAAAGTGCTTAGCACAGGATTTGGCACATAGTAATTGCTTGATATTTACCACTGCACTGTTCTATAATCATCACCATTATCAACATCATCATCATCATCATCCCCCGCCCCCACCATCTCTCCACCTTTCTTCTTTGTCATTATTTATTTCAACAGACCTTCATCAAGGTCTCCTGGTGTTGTCTAGTTAAGCAGGTTAGGACTCTACTGTTCACAAACTTCAGAGGCAAGGTGACACATGTTTGAGTTTTTGACTCCACTATTGTCAGAATGCTCACCAATGACTTATCGCACCCCTCTGTGCCTCAATTTTCTCTTGCATAAAAGGGGAATAATGTTGTGCCTGCCTAAAGGGTTATTGCAAAGATTACATACAGTAATGTGTGTTAAGTATCTCCTGGCATTTAACAAATATGAACTGAAGAGACTGTCCCTAAGAGACTTGTCCCCTAGTTAACAGTGGGGAGGGGGCCCATCTGATGCAGAAGGCCCTGGATGAAAGCCAGAAGCCTGTTCCATCAACAGTGTGCCCTGGACCCAGCCACATGCCTCCCTTAGACATTGATTTTGTTTTTGCAGAAGGGAATGGATATTCTCTGCTCTCCCCAACTCTCAGGGTCAGCAGGAGGTGAAAGGGAACTGGCAAATATAATAGAAGGACTTTGAGAAGTCAGGCTTGCTACACGGGTGAGAAGTTTTATGATGATGGCTTTGGTCCAGCCTCTGGTCTCCCTGTCAGCAAATTTCTAGATCTGAGGGAGAAGGCAATGTTGGGTGCAGGCGGGGGGTGGAAGGCCTGCCTGGAGGCCGCTTCTGGCTGGGATGAGAACACTGGTGTGTGGTGGCAAAGGTCGTAGCTCCTTTCTGAATTCTGAACATCCCTTTCTTGCCTGCCAGGATGCCATGCTGGTGGCTCTTAAGAGCCTCATGCCGGCCTGCCTCTTCAATGTCATTGGGTTTGGATCCACATTTAAGACCCTCTTCCCTTCCAGCCAGACCTACAGTGAGGTAAGGAGGGGGAAGGGCTGGGTCCAGGAGTGGATGGGTGGTGAGGAGCAGAGGAAAAGAAGAAAAAGAAGGAGCAGGTAACCCTGAGGCCAGCCTCAGAAGCCATCCCTCACGTGGCACCTCAGTGATGCCCGCAAGCAGAGAACCAGGGAGGCTATCTCTGGGTAGGCTGGTTTCTAACATCTCTTTTTTTTTTTTTTTTTTTTT